GCGGTTTTTATAATTGTTTGGATGTTGTGCACAACACATGGGTGAGGTGGGGTGGCCCATCCATCTCCGCCGGTCACCCGACAGCCCCTGGTTTGCCCTGCACCAACAGCACGCCTCCCGGGTTCCCATGACCGGCAGTCTGAAAGCCATCCAGCTGCTGTGCACCTATGACCGACAGCCCAGCACCTATGATCTATCTGCAATGTATCGACCCTAGACAAACCGTTTTGGGGCTCCTGGAGGCCCATAAAGCGCAGCCGGGGCAACATGCGCTCCCTTTAAGTCGACCATGCAATGCCTTGCCTACCCTATATTTCAGAACAATCCTATGCTTTCGGTGCATTTGGATGGGTACAAAGCTAGAAGTCCTGTCTTCATCATCGGCCATGTCGACGTCAGAGTGCCCGCGCGTGAAGCTGTTTGCTATACTAGTTAAAGCAATAACTTTGTTTAGCTATAAAGTCTCTGTAGCCCGTTCGGTTGGCTTTATGAAATTGCGTAACCTCTGTCCGGCCGTCGCAGTTACCTTCTACCAGAGTATGTGCGCTTTGCGCAGAATTTAAGCTATAAAGACAAGCAATAGTTAACTCAATTGGTGTTCCTGGCCTCGCAGTAATTCGTTAGCCAACTTCCCCTCCGGGGCATAGGCACTCGGGGTCTTGGCCTGCAGGACCCGTCCACATTAACACAATGCCTAAGTCTTGCAAATGCGGCAACCTTTTCTGTAATAAATTACACCTCAAAATCCATGAACGGTTTGCCTCATTGGTACAGGTCGCTTGCAATCACGCCGTACACATCTTCATACATCAGTCCAAAATGACTACATCCTGCTTACATTCGTCATTCATATAGGCAATATTGCGATATCATTACGATCTTTGATGGACCTTGAGGAAGAGCGTGCTACATGCATAGCCAGAAACGAAGCTAAGTTAGCAGAGCTTGGTCTTTTGCATTCACCTCCCCAGTCCAACAAAATTACAAGCACTGGATTGAAATCCCGCCGACTTCGTAGAAGGATCGACCAAGCA